GCATGATGATGTTTTCCTTATTCTTGCTTCTTGGATTCTTGCATTTGGCATTTGTGGAAATACTCTTTTTTTTTTCTGGCGGTTTTTATCATTGTATTATGACTGTAGATAAATGGACTTTCTGCTTTCACTGAATCTCTAGAGGCTTGTAGTGGGTGTGGCCAGAGAGCTCTGTTCAGTTTTCAAGGGTAAAGGGTATGCCTAAGGGACACACCCAGGTTTGGCATGGTAAATCTTTTTTAATCAGAAGGGAATTATATTCTGTTCAGCTGAGTTCTTCTCTTCAATGGAAACCAGTGCCTGAGTACTAAATCAAGTGGGTATATATTCACTATGTCCCAAGGACCACATAAGGATCTGTGCTCTCAAGTGGGACCTCTGTTCTTAGTGAGAATTAACAGTAAATCTAGTCTTCAAACACCTGTTTAGCTGGGAGCCTAGGAAAAAGTGCTCAGGCAAGTAATATTGTGAAAAATTAGTTCTAATATGAAAGATAACCCAGAGAAAACAGCAGTCCAGCAAATCATTCAACCTGAAACTACCAGCAGCTACATCATTCATTTTCTATTAAATCTATTTATAATAAGATTTAATTTGATGAACACTTGCAAGAAGCTGTGGGGACTTAAACAGGGATGAAGAGCTATTTCTTATGGGTAGTAATGGAGGTGGAATGGATTAGTTGCACAGCTATTATCTAGATGGGAAATAAAGAGTTACTGAAGCTAGATGCATCATAGCATTTGTAGCCCTGTTATCATGGGATAGCCAAGCAACCTAGGAAAAGTGTTCCTCCTGAGGGTATCCTGAGGCACTAACTGAATGTAAATCAGATTTATAATCCAGAAAGGACTTTGTAAATTGGAAGGAATAAAAGTACACATTTTCAATAAAAATGAGGGCCACCTGCAGGAGCAGGGAATAATGCAACAAAAAAAGGTTGTAAAAATTACAAGTTAAATTAATACAAAATGTACTACAGGGGCCAGCACTGTGTCACAGCAGGTTAATGTCCTGACCTGAAGTGCTGGCATCCCATATGGGTGCTGGTTTGAGACCCGGCTGCTCCACTTCCAATCTAACTCTCTGCTATGGCCTGAGAAATAGTAGAAGGCCCAAGTGCTTGGGTCCCTGCCCTACATGGGAGATCTGGAGGAAGCTCCTGGTTTTGGATCAGCACAGTTCTGGCCATTGTGGCCAATTGGGGAGTGAACCATTGGATGGAAAATTCTCTCTCTCTGCTTCTGCTCTTTTTATGTAACTCTTTCAAATAAATAAATCTTTTTAAAAAAAATACTACATTTATGCTCCTGCTTCTCTATTGCAATGGGTACCACATGGATAGACTTTATTCCATGTTCTTGTCTCGTCTCAAGGCAATTAGGAATAGAATGAAAAAGAGTAGAAAAGTGGCATCATGAATGAAAAGGTATTATGCACTCAGTAATACAGGAAAATTCAGATGAGTGTTGCAACTTATAGGGTTTCAGGTTGTCCCTTTAAAGAATGAGAGTAATGTATGTGGCAACATCTACTTGCATATTCAAATAGACCTTGGGTAGTGGAGTCTAATCCAGATGTGCACACAGATAAGTTGAAATTTCTCATGGGTATATAGGTCACCACACACTCATTCCCTTGTGTTGCACACAACACTTATTATCCAGGGCCGGGTACACTATTATGGCTGGAACATGTGTCACTTGATATGCCTATGGTCACATCATTGGTTTCCACTACAATAATGTGGGGAAAGAGTCCTGGGTGGCCAAAAAAGCAGCTATAAAACAAGTAACTTTGTAATTGATGAAGATGGTATTCCAAATAACTGTTGAAATAACTGTTACTCAACTTTTAAATATTTATTAACAAAATTTACACAAGAGAGCACAGTTCAGTTCATATACTTGATTCCACTCAGAATAATGAGAAACCAAAAGTTCCGGTTGCATAAGAGAAAAATTTCTGAAGAGCGGTTAACCACTCTCTGTCACAATTCATTATGAAAACTGCCCAATACTCACTAAGGTGTGATTCCACCAAAGAATTCTTCCAAACAAATTATACTTCAGGGACTTCTCTCTGTAATCTTGCTATGTTTTGTGGAAGTTTGCCTAATAATAAAGGTATTTCCATTACAATAAATCATAGGATTTTTCTTTCTGTGAGTTGTCAGGTAACCATTGAGAGGTGACATATGGTACATGACTTTTCTATACATGTATGTTTTCTCATTTCGGGGTCTCTTCATGTGAATTGATTAATGGCAGAAAAAATTTTTCACATTCATTAAATTGAAATTTTACTGTATGAATTCTCTGGTGTTAGTTGATGTTTCTTTTTTTTAAGATTTTTATTTATTTGACAGAGTTACAGACAGTGAGAGAGACAGAGATAAAGGTCTTCCTTCTGTTGGTTCACTCCTCAAATGGCCACAGTGGCCAGAGATGCACTGATCTGAAGCCAGAGCCAGGTGCTTCTTCCTAGTCTTCCATGTGGGTGCAGAGGCCCAAGCACTTAGGCTGTCTTCTACTGCTTTCCCAGGCCACAGTAGAGAGCTGGATTGAAGAGGGGCAGCTGGGACTAGAACTCACCTATATGGGATGCCAGCATAGCAGGTGGAGGTGGAGGATTAATCTATTGCTCCACAGCGCCGGCCTGATGTTTAATTTCTGGCTATGGTTTTTTGAGGTCTATTGCACTTGAAGAATATCGCCTTTTTGAGTTGCATATTATGCAAGCCTGAATTCTATGAAAATATACTTCCACATTCATTACACTCCTGAGAAACCACTTGTGTGAATTTTCTGATGTATAATGCCATTTCTGACAAATGGCTTTTTGTCACACTAATAATATTTCTGAACTTCTTCATTTTCTTTAAAAATTTATGTTATTTATTTGAAAGACAGAGTTAGAGAGAGACAGAGAAGCAGAAAGAGGTCTTCCTCTGCTAGTTCACTCCCCAGAGGGATGAAATGGCTGGAGCTGCAGCGATCCAAAGCCAGGAGTCAGGAGCTTCTTCTGGATCTCCCACGTGGGTGCAGGGCCATCTTCTACTACTTTCCCAGGCCATAGCAGAGAGCTGGATCAGAAGAGGAGCAACTGGGACTAGAACCAGTGCCCACATGGTATGCCAGCATTTCAGGCCAGGGCTTTAACCTACTGTGCCACAGCGCTGGTCCCAACCTTTCTTCCTTATGGGAGTGCCTATTGTATGGGATGTAATTTCCAGCAAAAGGCTCTGTCACATGGTTATGTTGACTTTGGAAAAAGTCCTTCACATTCATTAAGTTCTCTCCCTTGTTTGATCTACATGTTATGAGGTATTCCTTCTGACAAAAGGCTTTCCCACATTTATTACAAGATTTCCACCATGTAATAAATTCTCTGATGTTATAGTGTGATTTTAGCAGAGTTTTCCAACATTCATTCCATTCATAAGGTTTCTCCCCCATGTGAATTCTGATGTTTTATGAGGTGTTACTTATGGATAAAGGCTTTTCCATATGCATTATATCCGAAGTGTTTTCCCCCATATGAATTAGATGATGTGCAATGAGGGCTGAATTATGGGAAAAGCTTTCCAAGTCATTATGTCCAAGAGGTTTCTCTTCCTGTGCATTTTCTGATGCATTCTGAGATGTGACTTATTGCCAAGGGCTTTTCTACAGTCATTGCATTCATAAAGTCTCTCCCTGGCGTGAATTCTGTGGTGTGATATGAGCTATGATTTATAACATATGATTTATAAAGGCTTTTCCACACTTATTAGATTCACAAGGTTTCTGCCCTGTGTGAACTGTTTTGATATGAGTATAACTTATACAAAAAGGCTTTTCCACAGTCATTACATTTATGAGGTTTCTGCCCTGTGTGAATTCGCTGGTGTATGATGAGGCTTGACTTTGATCAAAGGCTTTTCCACAGTCATTACATTTATGAGGTTTCTCCCCTGTGTGAATTTGCTGGTGAATGAGGTGCTTTGTCCAAAGGCTTTTCCACAGTCATTACATTTATGAGGTTTCTCCCCTGTGTGAATTTGCTGATGTTTCCTGAGGCCTGACTTGTGTCCAAAGGCTTTTCCACAGTCATTACATTTATGAGGTTTCTCCCCTGTGTGAATTCTCTGGTGTATGAGGTGACTTTTGTCCAAAGGCTTTTCCACAGTCATTACATTTATGAGGTTTCTCCCCTGTGTGAATTCGCTGGTGTATGATGAGGTCTGGCTTTCGTCCAAAGGCTTTTCCACAGTCATTACATTTATGAGGTTTCTCCCTGTGTGAATCGCTGGTGTATGATAGGTCTGACTTTGTCCAAAGGCTTTTCCACAGTCATTACATTTATGAGGTTTCTCCCCTGTGTGAATTCGCTGGTGTGATGAGGTTGACTTTGTCCAAAGGCTTTTCCACAGTCATTACATTTATGAGGTTTCTCCCCTGTGTGAATTCGCTGGTGTATGATAGGCTGACTTTGTCCAAAGGCTTTTCCACAGTCATTACATTTATGAGGTTTCTCCCCTGTGTGAATTTGCTGGTGTATGATGAGGCTGACTTTGTCCAAAGGCTTTTCCACAGTCATTACATTTATGAGGTTTCTCCCCTGTGTGAATTCGCTGATGTTTAGGTGACTTTGTCCAAAGGCTTTTCCACAGTCATTACATTTATGAGGTTTCTCCCCTGTGTGAATTCGCTGGTGTATGAGGTTGACTTTGTCCAAAGGCTTTTCCACAGTCATTACATTTATGAGGTTTCTCCCCTGTGTGAATTCGCTGGTGTATGAGGAGGTGACTTGTCCAAAGGCTTTTCCATCATTACATTTATGAGGTTTCTCCCCTGTGTGAATCTGGTGTATATGAGGTCTGACTTCCACAAAGCCTTTTCCACATTCAAGGCATTTATAAAGTTTCTCTCTTGTGAATTCGCTGATGGTTTATGAGGTATGACTTTGTGTAAAGGCTTTTCTACAGTCACTACATTCATGAGGTTTCTCCCCTGTGAATTTGCTGATGTTTCCTGAGGACTGAATTTTGTCTAAAGGCTTTTCCACAGTCATTACATTCAGAAGGTGAATTAAAACTGAGTGATTTTCCACAAGGTTTACATGTGTAAAGTTTTTCCCTTGTATTTAGTCTCTGGTTTATTGCAAGATGTGACTGGTGAATGACAGGTTCAACATACATAATGTACTTATAAAATTTCTTTCTTGTGTGAGTTTGTTGATGCATATTGAGGCTAGAATTTTCATGGATAGCTTTTTTATTTGCGTTGCTTTTCCAAAAGTGACAGTTGACTTATTACAGTTTTCTGCCATATGAACCCTCTCAGATTTACAGAACATCTTTCTTGTGAAGACTTTTGCTTGTCCAGTGGGTCCAAATGGCTGCTTCATGATGTGAATATTGTCAAGCTGGCTAAGAGGCTCACAGAACTGGAGAGATTTTCCAGGTATCTTAGTGTTATCAAATTTCTCTCCAGCCTGTAGTTGATCAGGCCCACTGGGGGGATACACAGTGTGACATTTATTGCATTCCTCAGGCTTCAATCCTGAATAGATTCCCTTTTTAATAATCAGTGTTGGAACATGGCTTGAATTTAAACTAAGTGTTTTTCTTAATTCAATTCTCTTGAGAGCTGATGTCTTGTTATTTTTCATAAAATCCTGATTCAGATTTTTGTCCTGACTTTCCTGGTTGATCCTAATCAGGTCATCCCTTTTCATGACCACTGAAATGAGAAAAAAGCAATCATGTCACTGAATCACATGTAACTGTTTCTCCTGGCATACTCATGTAAAGGGAATGAAGTTACTTGTTATCCAAGTGGCATAAGATGTTCACAAAATCAGTATGAGGTACTTATTTGTGACCATTATATGGTTTTCCTCCTAATACATTAATATACCATGAGGTTTCCCAATGTTCAAACATGATCCTTTTTACTATGGGAATTTGTTAAGGATGGTAGAATGACATTTGTGCTATGATGTGTGGGATGCCTGCATCTCAAAACAGTGTCAGTTTGAGCCCTGGCTACTCTGCTTTCAGTACAGCTCTCTGCCTATGTAAACTGGAAGGAAGCAGATAATGGTTCATGTGCCTGGGAACCTGTGAGAAACCAGGGAAGACTAGAGGGATTCTAGAGTTTTGGCTTCAGACTAGTTAGACCTAAGTGTTGCAGGCATCTGGGAAGTGAGCTAATAGAGGACCTCTTTCTCTCTCTCTCTTCTCTCACTATCACTCTGCCTTTCACAAAGATGAAATAACTATAAAATATTTTAAAGAATGGGCAAATATTTAATAAAAATATTCACCCACTACCTAGCAACCATTTTTTCCCTGTCTTTTTCCCAGTTTATTTTTATAAAAATTGTGTGCTTTTTGCTTCTCTGATATCTCAACCATAAACATGAAAAAGTTTTACTGATCATTTACTTGCAGGTGGAGAAGAGTGAAATGTGCCTGTACTTTAAGCAGGACAACATTTAAGGAGTAGGATTTGAATCTATGAGTGTCTCATGCTCAGTCTTCCTAGGTAAACATCATTTGTGGGATTTTTCAAATGAAAAACTACTTTGTCTCTACTCTATGACAGCTTCCCCAAATTCCTAAGGACACCCAACACCTTCAGCTTCTCAGAAGTACAACAGATACAGAAAATTCCCAATATACCACTTTAGTTAAACACTCCCAATCAGTTTGAAGAATTTGTTTCTGCAAACCGGGATGTGCTCATCTTCTTTGAAAAGTGTTTTCTAACTCATTCTGAAATCATCAGTGCTGGTTACCTCCTCTAAATTCTTTCTAGAAACATTCCTGTGTGATAATTTGAATTTCTGGAGGCTTTTGATCAGTTGCCTCCTATTTTCACTGAAAGCTTCATTTCCTATGCTTTTCTTATCTTTTTTTGCTTATTTTCAATGATACTGAAAATAAGAGAAAATCATACTTCAAACTCCACCCTTAAAGAAATCTGAGCCACTCAACATAACCCCAGAGGCTACTTGACCTTGGGTCTCAAAATCTCATTACTTTCTTGGTGAGTCTAGGATCACTTATTTTCATGTTTTATGTAAGTTCATGCTTAGTTTAGGATTTCTTTTTTCAAAGATTTACTTTATTTATTTGAAAGCTAGAATTATAGAGAGAGAGACAGAGAGAAGTCTTCCATCTGCTGGTTCACTCCCCATATGGGACAACAACCAATGCTGGGCCAAAATGAAGTTAGGAGCCAGGAGTGTCTTTCTTGTCTCCCACATGGGTACAGGGGGCCAAAGACTTGGGCCAACCTCTGCTCTTTTCTCAGGTGCATTAGCAGAGAGCTGGATTAGAGGACTAGCTGGGACTTGAACTGGCACCAATATGCAATGCTAGTGTTGCAGGCTGGAGCTTTAACACACTGCACCACAGTGTCATTCCTAGCTTCATAATTTCTGATGTCACAGCACAGAGGCTTACTCATGACCATCTTTTTTTTTTAAGATTTATTTATTTGAAAGTCAGAGTTACACAGAGAGAGGAGAGGCAAAGAGAGTAAGGTCTTCCAACCAATGGTTCACTCCCCAGTTGGCCACAATGGCCAGAACTGTGCTGATCTGAAGCCAGGAGCCAGGAGCTGCTTCTGGGTCTCCCTCAGGTGCAGGGGACCAAGGACTTGGACCATCCTCTACTGCTTTCCCAGGCCATAGCCAAGAGCTAGATCAGAAGTGGAGCAACGGGTCTCAAACTGGTGCCCATATTGGGATGCTGGTGCTTCAGGCTATGGTGTTAATTCACCTGCGCCACAGCACCCGGCCACATGACCATCTTATAGCATTTGCTTATTTACTTCCTTGAGAGTAAGAGAAACAGAATGAAAGATAAAGACAGACTGAAAACAGAGGTTTGCCCAACTATAGGCTCACTCCTCAAATGTCTCCAACAGACTATAATTTTCTTATTTATTTGAGAGGCACAGAGGAAAAGAAAGAAAGAGACTAAGAAAGAGAGAGTTCACATTTATTGATTCAGTCCTGAGCAAGTTCTATGCCTGGGCCAAAATCATGAGTTGGAACGCAATCTGAGCAATGAGTTAGAAATAAGTTTCTGGGGGCTGGCATTGTGGCATAGCAGGTAAAGCCACCACCCTGCAGTGCCAACATCACTTATGGGCACCAGTTTAAGTCCTAGCTGCTCCACTTCTGATCCAGCCATTCTGCTATGGCCTGGGGAAAGCAGTAGAAGATGGCCCAAGTCCTTGGACCCCTGTACTCATATGGGAGACCTGGAAGAAGCTCCTGGCTCCTAGCTTCAGATCAGTACAGCTCCAGCCACGACAGCCAATTGGAAGTGAACCAGTGGATGGAAGACCTCTCTTTCTCTCTCTGCTTCTCCTTCTTCTCTCTCTCTGACTTTCAAATAATAAGTAAATCTTAAAAAAAAAAAAAAAAAAAAAACAGAAACAGGCTGCGTGGCAGCTCAATAGGCTAATCCTCCGCCTGCGGCACTGGCACACCAGGTTCTAGTCCTGGTCGGGGTGCTGGATTTGTCCCAGTTGCCCCTCTTCCAGGCCAGCTCTCTGCTGTGGCCCAGGAGTACAGTGGAGGATGGCCCAGGTCCTTGGGCTCTGAACCCACATGGGAGACCAGGAGAAGCACCTGGCTCCTGGCTTTGGATCAGCACAGTGTGCCAGCCACAGCACACTGGCCATGGTGGCCATTGGAAGGTGAGCCAATGGCAAAAGGAAGACTTTTCTCCCTACCTCTGTCTCTCACTGTCCACTCTGCCTGTCAAAAAAAAAATTAATCTTAAAAAAATAAGTTTCTGTATGTTGCCTAATTAACAAGCACTAAGGAACTAATAAGTGCATGAAGGAAAAGGTATGAACATGTAGAGAAGGACAAGTTAGAATTGGGGGAATGTATCAAACCTAGATAAAAGCCTTAGTAACATCAGAAAATGACTGGATTTTTTTTTTAATCAAAGAACATCTTCACTAAGAACAAAAGTTAGAAAGATAGTGGTATATCTAAATGCCTGTGTCTGATGCACAAAACCAGCTATCATCAGGAGTAAGGCTTAAGAAAAATTCATGGAAAGAACACCAGTCAACATCTGCACACTTTCTGCCTTGGCCTCCCTGTCATGTGCAGACTGACCTGAAAGGCTCAGATTCAAGCATTCATCCACCATCCATGGCTCTTCTCCTCACTCCAACTTGAAGATCAAATCAGGCTTGGTAATGCAGTGCCCTATTAATGGAAACAAAGTAAGACTTTGTAAAATCACTATCTTGGGTTATTTAAAGGACTACAGCTTGGTTCAGGAGCTATGCAACAAATGTTCCAATTTGAATCTTTTGTTAGATGGTAGATATTCAGATTATTCATGGACTCAATTCTAATCCTGCCCAATATTAAACATTATAAAGTGTTCCCTTATTTGTCAAATAGCAAGAAAATGTTATCACTGGGCATGTGATGGGTGTCACTCACCCAAGGAGAACAGGCTGCTGTAGGTCTCCAGCATCACATCTCTGTACAGGATTTTCTGAGCATTGTTCATTTTCTGCCATTCTTCCCATGTAAAGTACACAGCCAGGTCTTCAAATGCTGTCATCACCTATAATAATACACTTCCAGTCAACATGTTAACTCTGTCACAAAATAAACACTGACAGTTGTGTATGGATATGAAGGAAAAAAGGAAGGATATGGTTTCACATTAGACTTGTGGAGTGTTTAGAAAGCCACACGGAGCATTCAACAGAGTCAAACCCATGATCTACAGGCTGTGAGACATGCCCAAGCTGGAGGGAAACAGGAGGTTCAAATCACAAAGGCCACATCTGTCAAGGGGAATTGCACAGCAGGCTAGAAGAGGGGCAATACTGACTCTTGACTGGGCAATGTTAAGGAGATATGTAGAAGCATTGAGAAAAAAAGGCAAGAAACCATCAGTGAAACTAAGATGGGAATGAACAGAAAACAATTTCCAGGAAAACACCATGCATATCATTTCCAATATGTCAGAGAAAAATATATTAAAAGACAGGGCAGACATTTAGCTTAGTGTTGTTTATGATGCCACCTCAGAGTGTCTGTGATTTCCAATGCCAGCTCTAGTTTCTAGCTCCCAGATAATGCAAACCTGGGGCAATGGTGATGTCACCAATGAAGGAGGCCTAGATTCCATTCCTCAATCCTGGCTTCAGTCCTGCCCCACCTGTTTGGTATGGTTATCTAGGAAGTGAATTAATGTGTCAAAGCTCTCTATCTCTCAGTCCATCAACTTTTTTCTCTATCAAGCTAATAAATATTTTTAAGTAAGAGAGAAAATACAGGTAAGACAAAGAATACAAATTAGCTTTTGCCCTTGTCTATGATTATTCTAGTGATAAACAATTGAAATAACATTATACCTAATTAAAGTGAAAGCAATGGAAATACTTGCCCAAAACATTCAAATGATAAACATTTGAAATGACATTATACATAATTAAATGAAAGCAATGGAATTATTTGCCCAAAAAGAGAACCTGGGAATGTCTGCAGTACAATCTGCATTTGTGACTCACTGAGAAAAATGCTTAGAGATTTGTTTCAGAACCTGCAATAGTCACCAGAATTGTGATCCAGCAGGCTAAGCCTCCACCATCAATGCTGGCATCCCATGTAAACAGAGGACTTGAGTCCTTGCTGCTCCACTTCCAATCTAGTTCCCTGCTAACCTGATTGAAAGAGCAGTGAAAATGGCCTGAGTATTCATGTGGGAGACCCATGGAGTCCCAGGCTCCTGGCTTTGGCCTGGCCCAGTCCCAGCCATTGTGGGCATTTGGGGAATGAACAGTAGATAGAATATATCACCTTTTGTCTCCCTGTCTCTCCCAATCTCTGCAAGTCCACCTTTCAAATAAATAATCTTAAAAAAATAATGAGCCTCCAGTAGATTCTTTTCTCCACACATTCCTTATCCTATTCCAGAATCCAATTCAACTTCTCAAAGGTATTAAGAACTCCATTACTCTAACAATTTGAAAACAAACTTAACTGATTTGTGTTCCAGCACTAGGTAACTCTTCCTCTTGCAGAATGCTAAGTGTTTACTTCATAGGTAGCACTAAAACACTGTTCAGTACATCATCTATGTGTAGAATGTTTCAGACATGACCCCAAAAAGTAGCATATTGTGCTTAGTTTCAACTCAATTCATGTAACAATATATATTTTGCTATAGCAACAGAAAGACAAGAGACCAAACTGCATTATTATAGATGACAGTAATGTTTCATAATCATGCCAAATTCATAATTCATTTCTGTATATTCTGTGATAACAAATTTTATTTTTTTCTATTTTAAAATTTTGTAAAGATTTATTTATTTGAAAGTCAGAGATACACAGAGAGAGGAGAGGCAGAGAGAGAGAGGTCTTCCATCTGCTGGTTCACTCCCCAGTTGGCTGCAATGGCTGAACTGCACCAATCTGAAGCCAGGAACCAGGAGCTTCTTCTGGGTCTCCCACATGGGTGCAGGGGCACAAGGACCTGGGCCATCTTCCACTGCTTTCCCAGGCCATAGTAGAGAGCTGGAGCAGAAGTGGAGCAGCCGGGTCTCAAACTGGTGCCTATATGGGAAGTCGATGCTTTAGACCAGGGCATTAACCCACTGAGCCACAGTGCCAGCCCCATATTTTCCATTTTAATTAACTAGTATACTGGGACTGGCACTGTGGCTAGCAGGTAAAGCTACTGCCTTCAGTGCTGGCATCCCATATGGTGCCAGTTCAAGTCCCAGTGGCTTCACTTCCAATCCAGCTCTATGCTATGGCCTGGGGATTCAGTAGGAGATGGCCCTAAGTCCTTGGGCCCCTGAACCTATGTGGGAGACCCAGAAGAAGCTCTTCACTTCTAGCTTTGGACCAGTGCAACTTCGGCCATTGTGGCAAACTGGGGAGTGCACCAGCAGATGCAGACTCTCTCTCTCTCCCCCTCTGCCTCTCTGAACTCTGACTTTCAAATAAATAAAAAAAAATCTAAAAAATAAATAAACTAGCATTAAACACCAAAATGAGTACTGACAAGCTGGGGAATAATTAAAAAAAAAAACACTTACAGGTGATATATTAATTTTCTTTCCTCTTAGAAACATGTGGAGGACCCAGAATCATACCTGGGAGAGAGGTGAATGGCAGGAGTTCAAAGAAAACTCAGGAGGCCAACGCTGTGGCATAATGGTTAAAGCTGCTGCCTTCAGTGCCAGCATTCCATATGGGGTCTGGTTCAAGTCCTGCCTGCTCAACATACAATCTAGCTTTGTGCTATGTGCCTGAGAAAGCAGTGGAACATGGTCCAAGTCCCTGGGCCACTGCACCTGCATGGGAGACCCAGAAGCTCTTGGGTCTTGGCTTTGGATCAGCTGAGCTCTGGCCTTTGCAGTAATTTGGAGGGTGAGCCAGCAGATAGAAGACTTCTCTCTCTGCAACTCTTTCAATAAATAAATGAAATCTTAAAAAAAAAAAAAACCCTCTGGTTTCCTTCTGCACTGAACAGTGGGGAAAAAAGGATATAATAGAATGAGTAAAGAATAATAAATACATTAACCAAGAAAACATCAGTTTCACTGTGGGGAATAAACCTCTAAAAATAGAAATACATAGGAAAATGCACCCACCTATATTAAGTGCAGAGATTAAACAGAAGTTATCATTGGTTTAACGAAAAGCATTATCTACAAATTTTGTAAAATAATAATGTAAAAGGAAAAAGAAAAGTTGAGTGTTCAAATGGATAAGGTTATCAGAGATAAACATTATGTTATTAAAGTTTATACTAAAGAAAGTTAACAAATACACATAATGTATAATTTAATGCAGTGCACGTTACCAGTAATGATTCCAAGTAGCACCTTTCCCTGTATTCATCCCTTCACAAAACCCTGGATTGGGGCTGGCACTGTGGCCTAGCGGGTAAAACTGCCACCTGCAGACTGGCATCCCATATAGGCACTGGTTTGATTCCCAGCTGCCCCACTTCTGATCCAGCTTTCTGCTATGGCCTGGGAAAGCAGTAGAAGATGGCCCAAGTCCTTGGGCCCCTGTACCCATGTGGAAGACCCAGAAGAATCTCCTGGACCTGGCTTTGGATTGGCACAACTCTGGCCATTGCAGCCAACTGGGGAGTGAACCAGCAGATGGAAGAGCTCTCTATCTCTCTGCCTCTCCCTCTCTCTGTGTGTAACTCTTTCAAATGAATAAATAAATCTTTTTGAAAAAGACCCTGAATTTCACACATTTCAATTGATTTACCCCATGAGATACCAGTAAATGTGATAGAAATAGACAATTTGTTAAAATATTTATTTATATGAAAGAGTTACACAAAGAGAGAAGGAGAGGCAGAGAAAAGAGAGAGAGAGAGAGGAGGAATAAAGAGAGGTCTTCAAACTGCAGGTTCACTCCCCAGATGGCTGCAATGGCTGGAGCTGTGTAGATCCAAAGATATGAACCAGGAGCTTCTTTCAGGTCTCCCACAAGGGAGCAGAGGCCAAAGGACTTGGGCCATCTTCTACTGTTTTCCCAGGCTGTAGCAAAGAGCTGGATCAGAAGTGGAGCAGCCGAGTCATCAACTGACACCCATATGAGATGCTGGCACTGCAGGCAGTGTCTTTACTTGCTATGTCACAGAACCAGCCCCAGAAATAGACAATTTGTAAAGTATTTGCCTTCTCAGATTTTCTTGTTCTGACAGTTATCTTCTGAAAAACCCTGGGGCCTGCCTGTTGAAGAGATAGTATGTAGGCTGGCGCCGTGGCTCACTAGGTTAATCCTCTGCCCGTGGCACTGGTATTCCGGGTGACAGTCTCAGTTGGGGTGCTGGTTCTGACCCAGTTGCTCCTATTCCACTCCAGTTCTCGGCTGTGGCCTGGGAAGGCAGTGGAGGATGGCCCAAGTGCTTGGGCCCTGCACCCACATGGGAGACCAGGAGGAAGTGCCTGTCTCCTAGCTTTGGATCAGCATAGCATACTGGCCATAGCAGCCATTTGGGGGGGTGAACCAATGGAAGGAAGGCATTTCTCTCTGTCTCTCTCTCTCTCACTAACTCTGCCTGTCAAAAAAAGAAAAAAAAGATAATATGTAGCCAAGATTCACCACAAACCCCAGACACTTAAGTGAAGCCTCAATCAGTTCCCCAGATGACTAACTCTCATTTCTGCTCCTGGACTGATCATA